CGTGATTCATATCGCTTTGGAGATTCAAATCCTTCAAACATCTCCTCAATGCTACTGTAATGTGGTTTTGGAGGTCAATGTCGTTTCCAAGTAGCAAACAGAATAATTGAGAAACCGCCATTTCTTTCATATCTTCTTTTTCTCGAACCTCAAGCATTGCAATCACCACAGAAACCGAAAACCCGTACATACTGATGAACGCCACTTTGTAACCTGTTGAAAGATGACGCCAATACAATGTAGCAGCATGACGAATCGGATCCCATTTGCGAGCAAGACCTTTGGCGAGATGATTTGCGAGATTTTGTTTTGCGAGACGGTCGGATGGTTTCATGCAAAGTGAGTGAAATGTTTTGGAAACTCTGGCGAGACGATGAGGTTCATGTGGGTGGAGGTTGATGATGATTTTTTCGATAGCTTCGAGAGGTAGTGCAATAGTGTGAGGAGATGAATGCTCTTGAGCTGTTTTGTTGGATGTAGTTGTTCTGGTCTTTTTCGAAGCCGACATACTCTGCGGAGTTTTCATTAGTGTGGTATTGTAATGATCAACAACATCAACCTAAGGTTGGCTTACTCACCAGCGTTCTTACTTCATTAAAAAATCAGTGTGCTCTAATAGAAGGGGTCCAAAAGCTTGATGAACAGTTTGCTGTGTGGGATGGTGACTGACAACAAAGGTATTGATGGCAGGAATAAAAACAAAGAAAGAAGCACAAAAAAACACGTATGAAGACGTTACATTATAATTGGCCACATAACAACCGTAGGCTATCATCAACCGTTTTAATTTATTGTTAGTTTCAATCGCGTAGTTGTTTAGGTGTGAACAACGAGCAAAAAAAAATCAGTCCGTAAGATCTTTTTCCTTATTTGCAATATCCTCAAAATCGCTTCGAACCAGAGAATAGCAGTCACCATCAAGAATCCCCACACCAGCCTTGTTATGATAAGATCGCAACCGCCCTTCATATTTGAATCCACATTTCACCAGAACGCGCTTTGATGCTGTTGAGAACAGTTTTTGCAAGAAGATTGGGTTTCAGCATTATATAAGAAACCCTGAACTAAACTGATATGAAAAAGAAGCGGACCACATACCTTCATTGTAAAACAAAACGATGGCTTGAATTCGTTCAATATTTAATCCAGTAGTAAATGCCATTTCACAAACCTTTCTTAAACATTGAGGCATCACACCTTGACCTCTATTTTTAAACCAAAATGTCAAGTAAACAAAAGTTTGCAGAATAAAAACAACAACGAACACCCACCTGTACTCATTGGCAAGATAATATCCAAGATCAGCCACATGTTCCTGTCCTTTGATTGGCAACAACCTAATGGTCCCAACCCACCTACCATACTCAACATCCCCATCAGGCTTTACATCCCCAATAACCTCTCGAATCGCATATTTCAAAGGGGGTAAACCTAATTGTCGTTGTGCTTCAGTATCCTCAACACACCGTTTGAGATAGTACATTGCATCATCTTCAGTGTATGGATTTGGCAATAACAGTGTGTTTTTGTGAATGATGGGGTCTTTCAGAACGTTTGCCAGTGATGATGTGAGATCAGGTTCATTCAGATATGAGGCAGGGAAAGGAGTCATATGCAGGCAATGGGTTGAGTTTGATGATTCATGTCGATAGGGAGTTGATAGTGAGATAGTGTGGGTATGTTTGCGATAGTAATCGTTCATGTCCTCCAATGTCATTTTGCGGATGATCGACGTTCTTCAAGGTCGTCAAAGAGTGGTTGTTGAACAAGAAAAAAATCCGATCATGATCACTGCCACTCAGATTTCCACCTGATGGCAGCGCGGGAGAAAGTTATGTTGATCGAACTCTTTTCGTTTCATTCATAACACGCGATACAAGTTGGGGATATCACAAATGAAAGAAAGAATAAAAAGCATCTGCAAAACAAATAGGAGATATCATACATTCTTCATAAGGAAGAAAAAATGGAAGCTTGCAAAAAGTATAAAAAACAGAGAAAGCAGCCAGACCAACGAATAAAAAAAATGAATAAATAAGGCAATACCTTCCACAAAGAAGCCTGAAGAAAGATAAACCCAGGAAAACTGCAAGCAATAAAGCAAAACTAAACGTAAAGTGAAAGAAAGAAAAACTATCCAACCCATGTCGACGCGATTTAATTATCACGGTCTTGCGCCATATCATGAAGAGCCAAATCATGCAGAGCCATTGCAATCAGATCCCTAATATCATACACTCCATCGAAACCATCCTCATCACTATCATAATCATAATCCTCATCATCATCATCATATTCGTCATCATAGTCTGACCAATCCTCACTATCAATATCCAACTCCTCATCTTCAACCTCCGAATCACCGTAACCACTCTCATCGTCATCACCATCAACATCAACACCTTCCAACGGCGGAGGCTCGTCCCTATAAACACCCTTCAACTTCAAACTCTCCTCCAACAAGAACCCCGCAACCGAATAATTCTTCTCATTCTCAGCAACAGTCAACGCCCTATAAATATCTTTTGGTAAAACCCCCATTTCAACAACATCACGAACAAAATCAACATCATCCCAATATTTACTAATAATCTTCCGAAGAGCAAAACCCCTAACCGAGTCAAAAGATCCCTCCAACAAAACCCGCAAATAATCCGTAGCTATTTGTTGTCTGTCGTTCGGTGAACAAACAATCCGAACCCCATTTAAACTATTACAGAGAATAACCTTTCGCACCAAGCGCAAAATCTCCACATAATACTCCCTGTCCGGTTCACAAAACTCCAGCAGGTATTCCAACGTCTCAGCGCACATTGTAGTCGCCGATTTAACCACCGCAGTATCAAAATCAAACATCCCAGTATCATTCAAATCCATCAACGTCTTCAGATTTTGAGTCCGACCAAATTCAGCCGCGTTGTTAAAACACTCGTCCCAACATTTGGAAAGCATGTTGAAATCCACAATTTCAGCCACCTTCCCAAACACATGATTACAGAACCGTGCAGATGATTTCACCATTTGCAATGTGAGCTCTGGCTTGGTTTTGTCCCATTGGTCCATGATCAGGTGTCCAAGGTCCACGTTTCCATGTTCAGCAGCCCCGAGAAACGCGCGTCCACTAAAAGCCCAGACGTTGGATACCAGTCCCGTTTCAAAAATCATGACGGCAACCTCTTCCATGTCTTGTTCACAAGCAACCGCGAACAAAAAGTCAAAGCATTTGGGGTTCTTGGGAACTTTGATGCCAGTGTAAGTCGGTTTGAAAAAGTTGGTGATGTTGCGCCAGTTTTGGGTTGATGACAAAATGGCTTCTACGTGATCCGGACTTACACGTTGTACAATCGCGCTGACGAGTGGAGCGTAGTTATCCATCTTCGCCGACATTCCATTGAGCGATAACAGATAACGCAGTGGTTCAGGTGATGAGAGACTGATTGCCCTTGCGATAGACTCACGTTTGCTGTTGGTTGGATGAACCCGATTTGATTGGACGAGGTATTTCATGATATCAACACTGCTGCTGTGCGCCGCATGCCAAAAAATATCTTCGTAATCCACGTCGGTGAATGTTGATCGAGTATCATTGAGAAGAATCCTGAACACTTCGAGTGTCATTTTGAATTTTTCTTGATGCAATGCATGGATAAGGATGGGTCTCGTCCGAACTGAGCGAAACTTTAAAAAGCGCTTGATGAGGGTGACACTGTTGCTTTCGATGGCGCACACGATGGCTTGATTTGGGTCAAAAGAAGAGGTGAAGCGTTTTTGATAGAGGAGTTTTGTGACCACGTCATCATAACCAACACCACATCCCAAATAAATCAACGTGTCCTTCAGCTTCCAACTCTCATTCAAGGATAAAACCCAATCCATCATTTGTTCCTTGCGATTCTTGCAGTCAAACGCGAACCCAACCACAATCTGCACTTCTTCATTGCCCAATTTGTTCGAATCCATCAATTCCTTCAAAACCTCCACTTCACCATGCGCAGCCAACCATCTCAAGGCTAAATGGCTCGATTCCTTGACATCGAGTTCATTGATGTTCTTCTTCAACGCATCAGTAATCCCGTCTTCAGCCTCCACGTCAGTCCCAGTGCACATTTCAACCACAGTGCTCAACTTATTGTCATACAATGCTTCCGCCAACTCTCGGCCCTTTTCACTTACAACACCGATACCCATCATCATAATCATCATTGGGACAGTAAACCCATGCATGCTGACCAATGCAACTTTATATCCATCAGACATGCGTTTCCAGTCCAAGGTTGATGCAAGTCGAATGGGATCCCATTTTCTGGCAACGGCCGTTGAAACAAAGAACTGTTTCAAATTAATCTTTGCCAATCGGTCAGAAGGTTTCTTGAATATGGCATTGAGGGGCTTTGAGACTCCAGCAAGACGATGAAGTTCATGAGGATGGAGATGGATTGCTATTTCTTCAATGATTTCGATGGGAAGGGTTGCATTGTTGTTTGTCGGTGGCGCGGATCCGGTTGTTGTTGTGGGTGGTAATGGTGTCGATGAGGGGACTGTGGTCAGCATCTGATGAATAACAAACAATGTACAGGATCAAACATGAGAGGTTGAATCAGAACATTGGATATAACAGGACCACATCAGCACTTAACCATCATGAATTCAAAGTTTCTCACCATAACGTCGTCGGCCTGGGTTCGGACTTGATGGGGGGGGGGGGGGAAAAAAAAAAAAAATATTTGGCCAAGGAAAATCGCCCAGACACAGGAAAGACGA